AGCCATATTGCGGTTTAGTCCTTGTTAACCCTGGCTGTCCTAGGTTTTTATCTCCTACTTGGACCATAATCGACAGCCTTCTGGGGCAGGATGACCTTGCCCCTGTTGGATCTGAGGGATAATCGTGGCACCAGACATGGGCAATGACTCTGGTGCTCTGTTGAAGGAACACATGGTAAACTGGGTCCGTGGGATGGAGGAGACACCAAGAAATGTTTCACTCTCCAAATGTGGGACTCTAGACCAGAGAAAACTCTCTAAGAATGAATGTTTCCTCAGAAGATCCAACCAAGACCTCAACCCATCTGAGAAAACTCTCTAAGAATGAATGTTTCCTCAGAAGATCCAACCAAGACCTCAACCCATCTGAGAAAACTCTCTAAGAATGAATGATCCCTCAGAAGATCCAACCAAGACCTCAACCCACCTGAGAAAACTCTCTTGGAATGAATGTTCCCTCAGAAGACCCAACCGGGACCTCAACCCACCTGAGAAAACTCTCTTGGAATGAATGTTCCCTCAGAAGACCCAACCGAGACCCCAACCCACCTGAGAAAACTCTCTAAGAATGAATGTTCCCTCAGAAGACCCAACCAGGACCTCAACCCACCTGAGAAAACTCTCTTGGAATGAATGTTCCCTCAGAAGACCCAACCGGGACCTCAACCCACCTGAGAAAACTCTCTTGGAATGAATGTTCCCCCAGAAGACCCAACCGAGACCCCAACCCATCTGAGAAACCTTGAACATCCTCACCAACCACCCCTTAATGAAGCTGGTGGACCTATCAACCTACCTTGGCTCTCCTGGGAGATGCGCCCCTCTTCTCCCACAGCTTTCCTTCTTCGCTGGGTGCGCCTTCCGGCGCCTGCGCGGCGACCCCACACATTGGCCCATCCTCTTTCTCCGACATCTTCTTCCTCACCATGTGGGCCTCGGCTCCTCCTGCCATGTTCGGGGTTCCCCCTCTCAGAGGCTGGATGTGATATTCGGTGCCCCGATATTGTAGCACCCCGATCAAAGAGACCCCATCGAAGTTGATTGCCACGATCGATTCCGGATCCGAATTGATTGTCCCGGTGAAGTAGTTGCCTCGTTCGGTTAGAGTGTCCACCACCGGCTTCAACCTACCCAAATATTGGACGGTCAGGTCCTTGGAGAAAAAGCTGGGGTCTTTCTCTAAATTGAGGGTCAGTTTTTCTCCAAACATCTGCAGTCGAAACGACAGATGTTGATCTGAATTCATGTTATAATCGAGGGAATTTTCATTCTCAAGAATGCCAGATGGGTCTTCCTGACTTCCCAAAACGGTGACATTCAGTTTTTCAGGATAAACGATTTCTTCATCGTATCTGCTGGAAGGACCCCTTTGGGCTGCCGAACAAGCCAGGTTCAAACAGATGATGATCAGCAGAAGAAACATGGATATTTTTTTTTGTGTGGGGACAATCAATTAAAGAAGAAAAACAAGGGTATCCCCAAAACTTTTCTCCCTTGTCGGGGAAAACCAGGGATAAATTTAAAGTCACCAAGCCAGAAGGCAGTCGATCATGTAACGTTGCCCCCAGGGATAAATGCTAAAATAAAAAACGTCCAAATGTCCAAATCGCTTCTCCCCTTTGTTGCAACTTCGAAGTTGATTAAAACTTAACGAAACGGGAGGGAAAATAAAAATTCAGATCAAATGAGAAGTGATTCCGCTATGCTTTCCCCCCCCCTTTTTTTCTCTTTTGAAGTTGCCGAGAAAGAGAGAGAAATAATTGCAAAAGGGGCTTTTGACAAAATATTCTTCCTCCTTTTCTTGTTCCTAGCTGCCAAAGTTTCCCCTCTCTTCCTGCAGCTGACTTGAATTTTCTGCACGAAGTGTTATTTGCCCAGCCGCTTCTCTTCTTTCCTTGCAGACTTTAGAAAGTGCCAAGAGAGAATATATATCTATATATATTCTTTATTTCACCCCTTGGCTTTGCTTCTCTTTGGAAACGTAGAATCAAAGGATCGGTTAGAAAAAAAGAAAAGGAAAGAGGAATAAACTGGATCCCAGTTAATAGTTTTCTCTTCTCTTGTAATCCTCGGCACTTTCTGAGTTTTAAGCGGTGTGGATGCTGTATACATATCCATGTAAATATATATATATATTGAATTCCCTGCAATTCGACACGCCTCCTCTGTCTTTCCATTGGCTTGCCGAGCTTGTTCCCGAAAAAAAAGGATGATGCTCAAAGACGTAATGCTATGAATAACAGAAGGAAAAGGGGTTTCCCCCCCTTTGAAAATTTTCTTTTCCTGCCTTTTTTTTTAAAATAACAAAAGCAAAGATGCTATTGAGAAACGGACCGGCTGCGAGATTAACTAAGGATGGGAATTGCAGATGAGTTGGCAAGAAATATGACACACACACACAGGGAGGGGGAGGCTGGGGATGGGTGTGCGAGTGTGTAAATGGGGATTTTCCTTCCCCCCCCACCCCCCCAAAAAATTCTGGCTGGATAGATCCCGTCCCTAAGGATGAGAAATCTTGGAATTGGAGTCAGCGTCCCTGCCTCTCTCTGTCCATCAACGTTTTAAGCCGTTCTTTCTTGTTAAAAGGGAGGCAATTTCTTGGGATTCTTGAGAACGCAGACGTTCTTAAGTTGCTAGTCCACAAGGGTTCGCCTCATTGGAGGTTTTCGCAGGGGGTGGGAGCCGAAAGAACATAAATCACTTGCACGCAGCCCCCCTCTTCTTTTTTCTAAGTCAATAAATTAAATAAGATGTTTTGAATTTAAAGATCAATCACTGGAAATTGCATCTTGTAAAAGCAAAAAAAAATCTTGAATCTTATGAATTATGTTGGTTTATGTGCGAAAGCCGGCTGGGTGACTTTGGGCCAATCACCAGGAGGCTGTGAGTTCTAGTTTTTGCTTAGGCATGAAAGGCAGCTGGGTGACTTTGGGCCAATCACCAGGAGACTGGGAGTTCTAGTTCTGACTTAGGCATGAAAACCCACTGGGTGACTTTGGGCCAATCACCAGGAGACTGGGAGTTCTAGTTCTGACTTAGGCATGAAAACCCACTGGGTGACTTTGGGCCAATCACCAGGAGACTGGGAGTTCTAGTTCTGACTTAGGCATGAAAACCCACTGGG